GTGAACTATCCAAAAACCATTGGTTCTTTGGCAGAATATACTGCTGCTGAAGAGAAAGTATTGGCTCATAAACCCTCCAATTTGAGCTTTATTGAAGCTGCTAGCCTTCCTGCAGTGATCCTTACTGCTTATCTAGGACTCGAAAAAGTTGAGTTTTCTGCTGGCAAATCTATACTTGTTCTTGGAGGTTCTGGAGGAGTTGGAACCCTTGTTATTCAGGTTTGGTGATGTATAATTTGTAGCATGATTAAATACAACAAAATATTTTATCATCTAACTGAAACCAAATGATTTTTTGTGTATATGTTTGATGATGTAGCTGGCCAAACATGTTTTTGGAGCATCTAAGGTTGCAGCTACTGCTAGTACTCCAAAACTTGAATTGTTGAGGAACTTGGGAGCAGACTTCCCTATTGATTATACAAAGGAGAATTTTGAAGAATTGCCTGAAAAGTTTGATGTAGTGTACGATGCAGTAGGTCAGATATTTGAATTGAAAACACACACACATATATATATATATATATACACGAGGTAGGATCTTTGGACACCGGTGTCAATTTTTAATTTTGACACCTCATCTGAGAGCCGTTAGATCAAAAAAGATCAAAGGTGTCACATGCTTGCAAATCAGAGTCGTTGATATTTTTTGATCTAACGGCTCTCAGATGAGGTGTCAAAATTAAAATTTGACACTGGTGTCAAAAGATCCTACCTCTCTCTCTCTCTATATATATATATATATATATATGTATAGGATCCTTTGACACCGGTATCAAATTTTGAAATTTGACACAAAATCCTAACCTTTGATTTCCGCCGATCAACGATTATTATTTATTGGGATCCTGCCCCATTTTTCTATATATATATATATATATGGGTTTACATTTCTGCAGCTGTTGTATGTGCAGCAATCAAATACTTGCTATATATATACTTGAAAGCATTAAATGCAGGGAATCATAACCATACAAAGGATTAAAATATTAAATGTGGATAATCATAACCATACACCCGTCTAGGGGTGTTAACGGGCCGAGCCGAGCCGAGTTTTGATCTTAACGGGCCAAGCCTGTATTTAAATGTGTCCGACTGGCCTTAGTCTGTTACCTGTTACGAATATAATATTGGCCTGTGGCCTGGTTTATTTACAAAAAATAAAAGCCTGTGTGAAGCCTGTCTTAGCCTGTTAGCATGTTAAAGAATAAAAATAAGAGAACATAATTCCACAAAAAATCAATTTCCAGATAGAAACCTTAGCTTCCAATTTGCAGCAATAATTTACAAAGTCTACAATAAATAAAAAAAATTAAAGTGAGAGAAGGTAGATAACATGTTATATTATCTTAGCCCATTATAAAAATTTTGCCAAAATGCCACGTGGCATATTTCGCTACACTGTGTATCAAAATATGTGTGTAAATAATTCGCTACACTACACAGTATAGCTAAATATGTCACGTCAGAACCAAAAATGCCATGTGTCAAAATTGAAAAAATTTGCTACAAAATTAAAGTACCTTTTGGGCCAAGTTACCAAAAAAAAAGTATCTTTTGGGTCCTCAACAAAAATCACGGGACCCAATTTAATCTCTTAAAAAAAAATTGACTCGTGATCTCTATGAATTTCAAAATAGACTCATGTTAGTCTTTTTGAGGGACTAATGTAGATCTTCTTTGAATTTAAGAAAAATCACGATTTCGGCTAAATGAGTCTATTTTGAAATTAAGAGGAAACGAGAGTCGACTTTTTTCTTCTAAGAAATTAAATTGGGCCTTGTAATTTTAATTTTTGTTGAGGACTCAAAATATATATATATATTTTCAAAAATTTGTGTATACACTTGCACACACTTGCTCCAATACAAGTCCGCCGATGATTGAATTTTATTGGAGGGATACATAAATGATTGATTGCGACAGTAGTATTTTAGATATTTGAGATTGGGATATAACATCATGAACCTAGCCGGATTAGTGATCATAATATATCCAGACTTCAATGATGTGCATTGTGTGATGGGTTTTAAATTCATAAAAATATTTTATTCCTTATATAAATTAGCCCATTATAAAAAAAGTGCCAACAAAAATAAAAATAAAATAAATAAAATAAAAAATAAATTGACACAAACGAGCAGTGCACAGTGAAACGAATGAGTTTTTGTGGGTTTGTTTGTGTGAAGGAGGATGAAAGATAATATAGAACAGTACTAGTAATTCCATAAATATACATAAATTCAATATATATCCAAATATCATAATATAGAACAAAATCATTCAAAAAGTTTGTTAAACCAATAAAATGGGGTGAAATAAATTGATGAGAGAGAGTTATTACAAGTAGTATAAAAAGTATATATATACTAGGCTAGCCTGAGAGGCTCTAAGGCCGAGCTTCTGAATTAGAGCCTGAGGCCTTTTTATTAAACGAGCTTTTATAGAAGTCCAAACCTGGTTCTAACACGAGCTTTTATTAAACGAGCTCAGGCCTTTACGAGCCGAGCCAAAGGCCCCTGGCTCGTTTACCACCCCTACACCCGTCGTTGTTATACGTAAAGCGGTTGCATAAATAATTTATCTATATATATATATATATATATATATATATATATATAATTATTATTATTATTATTATTTGCCTTCCACGAAGTATTGTTGAAAACTAAAATAACATTAATAATTTCGAAAACAGGACAGAGTGACAAGGCACTGAAGGCTATTAAAGAAGGGGGCAAAGTTGTGACCATAGTACCACCAGCAACTCCACCAGCTATTGACTTTTTTCTCGTTTCAGATGGGGCTGTGTTGGAGAAACTACAACCTTACTTAGAGAGTGGAAAGGTGAAGCCAGTGTTGGACCCCAAGAGCCCTTTTCCATTTTCTCAGACTGTGGAAGCATATGCATACCTTAAGACTAATAGAGCCATTGGGAAAGTAGTCATACATCCCATCCCATAAGCATAGCTAAGCATATCAAATTCTGCTGCATGTGCATACTCACCTTAGTATTTGTGATATCAATTTATTTTTGGTGATGATTTGACAGCACCAGAATTTATGTTAAAAGCACAATATTTCCTTTCAAGAGTGTGTGTGTAAATTAGTAATAAATGGTTACATATTTGGCTTGTGGGTTACAGAATAAGTAATGCCTATAGTTGAGGAGAGATATAACTTCGCAGTTCCATTTGATCATTGTAACACTGTAATATTATGGCTTGTTCAGAGATTGCTAATTTTCGGTGCTTTTCATTTATTAATTAACTTTATGAAAACTTGATTTTGAAAACTCTTATTGCTTTTGATTTATGGTATATGATGATGGGTATAGTGTGTGTCATTCAAAAGGACAGAAATTGTGTCCTTTTAGTGACTTACAAGGAGTAAGACCGGTCTTACTTTGTGTAATTCTGAAAAGTTACTTTTTTTTCACTTTACACGTCAGCAATCTGACTGGTGAGAGAGAAAAAAAAGTAATTTTTCAATTTTACACAGTCGTACTTTGTATAAAACACCTAAAATGACACAAGTTTGTGTTATTCAAAAGGATACTTCTTTTTCCCTATGATCAATGAATAAACGAAAATGTATGGTTATTTATTTATATATATAGAATAACATTTTTCATTTTAATTGAAACAACCATGTTTTGATATATATTTGTTGGGTTTGGTGTTTGTCATTTTAGGAGAGAGATAGACACAGAAAAATGGAAATCATGGGAGAAAGAAAGTGAGTGGTTTTTTTTAATTTAAAATTCAAATTTTCTGTGTCTTTATCTCTCTTAAAATGACATAACTTTCTGTCATTTAAAATGATAAACACTTTTCCCATATTTGTTATTCTTTTATATTATCCCTTCCAATTAGGAGGAGAAAAAAGAATGAGTATTGTAAAATAGAGAATACGTAAAAAAATTAAAAATATGCACAAAAACACAGTTGTTTTACTTAAAAGACACAAAGTTCCGTCCTTTAAATATTTTTCTCATATATTTAATATACATTTTTTTCTTTACTATTTTCTTGCCTATTATATAACTATTTCTTTAAGTTTTTGGTTTTTATTTTACTTTTTCACTCGCATATTTCTTGACTCTTCATTTTTATTTTCCATTTTTAATATATTAAAAAGATATGTATTTTATTAAAAAATATATATTATCAAAGTATCCTAAAAATTCTATTATGTTACACAATTATAAATTAAGTTTTAGTGATGTGGAGACGTAGACAATAATACAATATAGAGATGACAGGATAGACGGAATTATGTGGACATTGATTGGTTTTCAATCATATATCTAAGTAGGAGATTGTTTTTCTCCATCGTTTTGGATACACCAAAATTCTTCTTCTTTCTCTATATTTTTTTAAGTGAATTTTGTGAGGAGTTCTCTTAATTCAAAAGAGGGATAAAATTGTTCGCTCTTTCTAATTAAAGAGAGGTTATGATTTTGTGATTTCTTATGGTAAAATTTTATTCTTGCTATGTGGCTTTTCCCTTAATTTGTTCAAGGGTTTTTCCCGTTATATTTTTATATTCCAATTCAATATCCTTTATTTATTGTTATTTTTTTGTCCTACGGAATTCAATTTCCTAACACAAGAAATGAAAATGACGAAACGAATCACATCATAAATGTATCAAAGGAGGTAATTTTTTTTTTTAATGTAAAGAAATAAAAAAAAAAAATGGAAAGGGGATAAACTCGTTTCAGACGAGATATTTGACTTTTTGTTGCTTGAAGAGAAATGGAAAATATACTACTTTTCAATCTTATACAAATAGAAATGGAAAACATTTTCTCCTTTTAAAGGAGAAAATTTTTCTTATGTTATTGATTCATAATATAAGTGGGGCCTACAAAATAGTGGAGAGAAAAAAAGTTTCAAGGTGGGATCCACTTATGCTATGAGTCACTAACATGAGAAAAATTTTATCCTTTGAAAAGAGAAAATGTTTTCCGAATAGAAATACACAACACAGGTTATTTATAAGATGTTGAACAACGTACCATAATGGCCTATTGTGTAGCCAGAACACAAACAACATGGGTAATTATAAAAAGTAACAACCACATCTCTTAAGAGATTTATTACAATTTGTGTCTCAGATAGACAAAACAAAACAGCATAAATGAAGGCCAGAGAAATTGATATGATTAAATAATTATGGTCATGGCATGGGATGGGACTTATGACAACTTTGCCTATTGCTTTATTAGTCTTGAGGTAGGAAAATGCTTCCACAGTCTGAGAAAATGGAAAGGGGCTCTTGGTATCAAGAATTGGCTTCACCTTGCCACTCTCCAAATAAGGTTGTAGTTTCTCCAACACAGTCGCATCTGAAGTGAGGACAAAGAAAGCTGGACTTCCCTTTTCAGCTATTGTCACAACTTTGCCACCTTCTTTAACACCCTTCAATGCCCTCTCACTCTGCCCTGTTTTTTTTTGGAATCAAAATTGTTTTGAGTATTCAACAATATTATATTTTTACATGAACCATACCACTCTCCTTTAAACCCGACTAGAGAGTGTAGGGTGAAGGTAATCCTTGTATGCAGCATTACCCTTACATAATTTTAAAGAGACTGTTTCTTGGATTTGAATCCATGACTTCTCAATCATGAAAGAACAGTTTTACCACTGTTCCGGTTCGCTTCGTTTTATATTTTTACATGAACAACTTCTTGAAATAAATTAAGGTTCAATCCAAATATCTGACCTACTGCATCGTACACTACATCAAATTTTTCTGGCAATTCTTCAAAATTCTCCTTTGTATAATCAATAGCCAAGTCTGCTCCCAAGCTCCTCAACAATTCAAGTTTTGCAGTACTAGCAGTAGCAGCAACCTTGGATGCTCCAAAAACATGCTTGGCTACCTACAACATCGAACATATACACAACAAATCATATGTTAGCTTTCTCTCAGAGGATAAAATGTTATGATAGATATATAAAATATATAATCATGTTACATTGAAAAAGTTGAAGAGTAAAAAAGCTCAACATTTTGCTACTAGGATGTCTTATAATAAAAGATATATAAAACCTGAATAAGAAGGGTTCCAACTCCACCAGCACCTCCAAGAATAAGTATAGATTTGCCAGCAGAAAACCCAACTCTTTCAAGTCCTTGATAAGCAGTAATGATTGCTAAAGGGAGGCTAGCAGCTTCAACAAAGCTCAAATTGGAGGGTTTATGAGCCAATACTTTTTCTTCAGCAGCAGTATACTCTGCCAAAGAACCAATGATCTTTTGATGGTATGTAATCTCATTAACATCACCATAAACTTCATCACCAACTTTAAATTTCTTCACTTGACTTCCCACTCTTACCACCACACCAGCAACATCGTACCCTGGTGCAGTCTTCATCCATAGTAAAATGAAATTAAATGGTTAAAAAAATAATTATGTTAGACTAGCAAAGCATAATACATGCTATTTATTAGATGGAAATGGACATAAAAAACTTCGATAAAAGAGAGGGACACAGTTAAGAAAATCTTACGGGTAAAATAGAGGCAGTGTCCTTAAAATCCCCAAGAGCCGTCATAAAATCAACAGGATTAAGGGATGCAGCCACAACCTTGATTAGTACCTGGTCTTCCTTAAGGTGTGGTGTAGTTACATTATGATCAAGCTTGAGAATTTCTTCTATTTCCCCATATTCAGAGTAGACCCATGCTTTTATATGAGATGGAATGCTAGGGATGCTTGCCATGATTGTGAGGATGAATATGGAGAAAAAGAGATAAAAGGGTAAGAGTATATATAGATAATTAGATATGAGACTACAAATTTGAACTGAGAGGTGAGGGTAGTGTGATGATATGCAGAGAATGAATGGCAATTTATAAGTGCAGTTATGTATAAAACTTTGGATTTGGGGTGCAAATTTCAAAGCAGTCTATTTTGAGTGGATTCTTAGGCCAAAATAAACGTACACATGCAGATGATTTCTTAGACCAGTGTCTTTTGTTAAAATAAGAGGAATAGTGATCGTGCTACAGTAGGGACATAACATCATGAACATCTTGACTTCACAGTGATCATCCCAAGCTGTCAGCAGACTACTTAATAGTAATCAAGTTCTAGTGGGGTTAGTAATACCATATTAAAAATGGTGTAGTGGGTAACATGAAAGGTACTCAAAGATTAAGATAAGAGGAATAGTGATCACATGTGTTAAACTTAGAGAAATTAGGATAAAACCTTATGTTCTCCTTTGGAGAATTCTCATTTAAATAGTATGATATAATTATACAATCATAACTATACAATCATAACCTACAGCTAGCTAATTAATTAAGGATATAATTACACAATCATAACCTACGCTGGTTAATTAATTAAGGATATAATTACAAAAAGGCATCTTTGTCACTTATTTCTTGGGATTAGAAGTACAATTCCAACAAAAAGGCATCTTTGTCACTCAGCACAAATATACTCAGGATCTAATTCAGCTAGCTGATCTCACCACTGCAACTATGGTTGACACTCCCATGGAAGTTAATGTAAAGTTAAGACGGGATGAAGGTGACCTTCTACAAGACCCAACTTTATATCGAAAGTTGGTAGGAAGTCTCATCTACCTCACCATCACAAGACCTGATATCTCTTTTGTTGTCCACACAGTCAGCAAATTCATGCAAAATCCTAGACACTTGCATCTTACAGCAGTACAACGAATCATTAAATATTTGTTGGCCACTCCCAGCCGTGGTATCTTCTTTCCGACAAATGCAACAATACAACTTCAAGCATACATCGATGCTGATTGGGCTGGATGTCCCGACACAAGGAAGTCTACTACTGGCTGGTGTATGTTTTTAGGAGATGCCTCTATCTCCTGGAAATGCAAGAAACAAGAATCTGTCTCTAAATCCTCCACTGAAGTAGAATATCGGTCCATGTCTGCAGCATGCTCTGAGATTATTTGGTTACTGGGCCTTCTTTCAGAACTTGGTTATTCACAAGCAACACCAACTCCGTTGTATGCTGATAATACAAGTGCCATACAGATTGCAGCAAATCCTGTATACCATGAAAGAACAAAGCACATAGAGGTCGATTGTCATTCAATCAGGGAAGCTTATGATCGTAGAATTATCACTCTACCTCATGTCTCAACATCTGTTCAACTAGCTGACATCCTCACCAAGTCTTTGACACGTCAACGACATAATTTCCTCGTCAGCAAATTGATGCTTGTAGATTCACCAGCATCAATTTGAGGGGGGATGTCAATAGAATTGATGAGCAGAATATTTGGCATTATTTGTGCAGATTTGTAATTATATCCTTAATTAATTAGCCAGCTGTAGGTTATGATTTGTAATTATATCCTTAATTAATTAGTCAACTGTAGGTTATGATTGTGTAATTATATCCTTAATTAATTAGCTAGCTGTAGGTTATGATTGTATAGTTATGATTGTGTAATTATATCATACTCTTTAAATGAGAATTCTCCAAAGGAGAACATAAGGTTTTATCCCAATTTCTCTAAGTTTAACAACATGCAGTCTATTTTTGACGAATTCTTAGGCCGAACATACACATGCAGATCATTTCTTTGACCAGTGTCCTTTGTTAAAATAAGAGGAATAGTAATCGAGTTAGAGTTGCCGGAATAGTGATCACAGTGCATCTTGACTTCACAGTGATCATCCCGAGTAGTCAGTATACTACGTGTGCGATGACATAATGCCTTAATGAGTGACCTAAAGACACGTTTTTGTGTGTGGATATATTAATAATATATTCTAACAGTATTCACGTACAAGTCCAATAGGTGAAAGCATGATTATTTGGGTCTACATAGATTGGAGTCCAATAACTTGCATTATCTCTAGGGTTTCCTAAGTTGGAGGTAACACTCCAGATTTAATGTCTCTTGGTGTAATATTGCAAGAACTTCTAAACCCTTCTCTCTCAAACTCATAATTAACCTCCAACGATCTTGAAGTTTTAGCTTCGTGTGTCGGATTTGAGCGAGTAAGGTGTCTATTCGAAGATTTCATCGAGAGGAACTCATATTTTAAATCACTTTCGTGATTCGACGTAAGGATTTTCCAGTATATGAGTTTGAAGATACTGCAGCTGCAACCTTTTAGTCCAGATCCTAGAATTTTTAGCAAGTTTCAGGAAGTGAAACTTATTGGTATTCGTTGAGATGATCGTTTTGAGTGGTCACTCGCCTTAAATGGAGATTGGACGAAGGAGATATGACAATCTGAAGTTTTTAGGTACATTTGGGAAATATTTTGGTGAGTTTCCGGCAATAGGGGTAGTTCATCTTAAGGTTTTTGGATGCACCAAACCTGTTTTTGGAGTCTGTTTTGGCAAATTCAAACTCCACCGAGCGGTTTGACAAAAGTTAGAGTCTTTGAAGTCCGTGGACTACAAGGTACAATCTTTCTAACTATTAGCTTTGATTAAAAATGACTAAACGTAGTTCCTATGATATTATAAAGCTGCAATCATTTGATGTTATTGAATTTTATGGTTGGAAATTACATATTCAATTTGGCATAAAAGAACGTAAAATATTTCATAATGTCTTAAATGATTTTACATCTACCATTGAAAAATGTGGATGAATATCACTGGAACAAGGATGGAGATTTTTGTAGGGATTACTTGCTAAATTCTCTAAATCTTCGTCTAGTTATGACCTGTAGTGAGTATATGACGACGAAAAAAATATGAAATCACTTGAATGCTTAGTTCTAAAAACAAGAGGGGCTATCCAAAACTCTCTTTGCAGAGAATTTTTTGAATTCAAATTTAATATGGATTCAAGAATCATCTCTCAATTAATTGAATTAGAGAACACGAGGAACAAGCTAAAAGATGATAAATCTAATATGTCTGATAATCTCTTTGTCGGTCTTGTATTGAGTAAGCTACATGCTGAAAGGAGTTCTTTTAAGACTGAAATGCACAGACCGAAAGAACAGAGTGAACTGGAAGAATTAAAGTGGTTTATTTATATCAAGGATCAAAACTATTTTAGGAAGAGTTGGAACAAATGGGGTAACCAAAGTTAGTTGCCTACTTAGTTTCATATTCCAATAAACCTCAGAAGAAGTCCAAGTCACCAAAAAGTGAATCCTGTAACATTTCCGTCTCAAAATGGTACGTTAACATAATATGGTACTAAAGCGCAGCATAATTAAACATGCATAAGCGAAAGACTTAATTTAAACTTTACTTTTCACCTGCGTAATTCTACGAGTTAACTTTTTCCTTTCGAATGATGTATTGCATATCATAATCTTTTTCGAATTAATTCAACTGTACCGTCCCACCTTAATACATAAATTTTTCTTCACTAATTATTTCCAATTGGATAACCATAAGTAATGGTCAGTGACCATCTCAGTATAATAACTAGTATTATCCCTGACAGAGTCAATCGGACTACATAACGACTGTAAAATGGACAATCCCGAGATGAAATTCCTCACATAAACATATCCCTGCCAATCAGAAAAGTCCAATACAATGTATACACATACAATTGGCTGACACATTGCCTCTAACTGAAATACATCATATATAAAGTATGATTCCGTGCCAATAGAAATTAATACAGAGCTAACATCTGACATATACAAAATACGAGGCTACATAGCATATGTAGGTGTGTTCGCGGTCTGGATTGAGTCGGTTTTGGAAGCAAAAATCGTCTGATCCAATCCCTTTGCTTTGATCATGTAATCATCCATTCAGTTTGGATTTTTTTTATCAAATCTGATTCAATCCAATCCAATTTTATTCAGTTTGGATTGGATCGGCTTTCGATTTTTTGAAAAGCCTAAAATTTGTATGATGTTTATTATGCAAATAACATATCTTTTGTATGTATTGACTTTATAAAGTTTGTATAAAGATTATTATGCAATCTAGAAGTATCAGTAAACAGTAATCTAATTTTCAATATTGTGCAACAAAAAGTTGAAACTGGGTAAACTTGGTTTCAAGTATCTATCACATGTTGGATAAGAAGGAAAATTAGACAATAACAAGGTAAGAAAAATTAATCTCAATTACTACTACAGAGAGATCTCAAAACAGTTTTTTATTTCAGATTTTAGCACATAAATTTTATAATAGTATCATATTCACGTGAAAATTATAAAATTAAATAAAAAAAATCCTTAACTTAATTCAAATGCTATATTTATGTAGCAAAAAATGCATACTTTTATAGTATCCTATCCAAAGGTTGAAATTACAATGATGGTAGTAACGGAAACTTGCTAGAATGTACCAATAATTTTTTTTGGGTTTAGTTGATGGGTTAATGGGCCGGTCTTGGGTTTAGAATTTTTTGAACTATGATGGGGGAATAGGTCCAAGTAGGTATAGGGGATTAATATATTATATCGGTTTGGATTGGATCAATTTTCAACAACCAAACTGAAAACTGATCCAATCCAATAAAAATTTACGATTTTTTTTCGATTTTTGATTTTCGGTTAATTCGATTATCGATTTTTCGGTTCGTCTACTGTGGTTTGAATCGGTTTGGATCGGTTGATAAATGCCCCTAATAGCAAGCCTCTCAAAAGAATGGATAACAAATGTAAAAATGCATGATCACATATCATGCCTCAAAATAAACTATACACTCATCCATATACATAACATAGTATCTCAAAATAAAGGCATCTAATCCAAGTAGGGCTATCTAATGATGGACGTCTATCCTACTATCACTGCTGTGCC